GGCGCCATCGCGGCGGCCCAGATCACCTGGGCGGGGACTTCGACGGTCGCGGTCGCCGTCTTCAGCTGGGCCAGCAGGCGGCAGACATCGCAGTCGCTGTCATGGGGCTGCGGCGATTCCGTGGGGCACGAACCGCACGGCGCAATACCCGTGGACTGAGCTCCCAGGGCCTCGTTACAGCCGCCCTCGTGGTGGCAGAAGAGGCAATCGCCAGCAACCGACTGGCACTCCACCGATTGGCAGCAAACGGCGTCACAACAGCCGCTCATGCAGGCAAACCGGTGCAGCCCGTCGCCGACCGCCGCCAAAAAGACATACCCCACCGCGAGCGCAGCCGCCAACGCCCGTAAGGCGAAGCGACGGCGAGCAGTACGAGAGGACATCGACGGGCCGTAGTAAACCGGGCAGCAATCCGGCAAGAGCTCGGCCGGCGAAGGCACCGGCCGCTATTAGCGTCAAGATAGACGCCCCCCAAACTCCGGGCAACCGAAAAAGCCGAGCAGAAAAGTCCGGAAGTGTGCCCCGGCGAACCTTACCGCCCCCCTTCCCGTCCTCAGAGCGAGCCGATAAATTACGGTGCTCAGGGGCAAGCCCCTGCAGCCGCTCCCTTAGCTCAATCGGCAGAGCAATTGACTCTTAATCAATGGGTTCTAGGTTCGAGTCCTAGAGGGAGCACTCGACAGGCAAACGACTTACGACGATTGCCTTCACTTGTTCCGCCAGACATGGCACGCTTTTCGGCACGGCTTCGAGAGCGATAAAGGCCCCGCCCGGGTTGCCGCCCGGACGAGGCCCACACAGCAAGCCTTCGGCTCACTGGACACTGGTTTGTCTCAGTAGCTTTAAGGAGGTTTGTGATGGCCCGACGCCCCACCCCTTGGTTCCGCAAGGGCCGCGGCTGGTACGTTCAGCACCGCGGAAAGCAGGTCGCTCTCGGCAAGGACAAAGCCGAAGCGTTTCGCCGCTTCCATGCTCTGATACAGAAGGCCGACGATGCGGTCGCACAGGGCGACTCGTTCGCGGCGATCTGCGATGAGTTCCTCGAGTGGACGCTCCAGCACCGTGCCCGTCGCACTTACGACTGGTACGTCGCTCTTCTGCAACCCTTCGCCGCATTCCTCAAAACGCATGGCTTCGTCGGGCCCGCGGAGGGACTGCGACCTCTGCACGTCAGGCGATGGCTTGAGCAGCATCCGACCTGGGGCGGCACCACGCAGCGGCAGGCGATCGCGGCGGTGCAACGCTGCTACAACTGGGCCGTCCGCATGGGCTTTCTCGATCGCTCGCCAATGACCGGCATCGAGAAGCCCCAGGCGAACGTGCGAACGCTGGTCGTCACGCCGGCGGCTTACAAAGCATTGCTGTCGGCGATCAAGGACGAAGCGTTCCGTGACTTGGTCGTCATTGCCTGGGAAACGGGGTGCCGTCCTCAAGAGGCGATTCGTGTCGAAGCCCGTCACGTCGATCTGGCCAACCGCCGCTGGGTCTTCCCGCCGTCGGAGGCGAAGGGCAAACGCAAGCCTCGGATCATCTATCTGACCGACAAGGCGATGGCGATTACCCGTCGCTGCATCGAGCGGAATCCGACCGGTGCGCTGCTCCGCAATCGTGCAGGGCGACCGTGGACCGCGTCGGCTGCTAAGTGTCGATTCAGCAACTTGGCGGACAAGCTTGGTGCGACTTACTGCCTTTACAACTTCCGCCACTCGTTTGCGACTCGCATGCTTGAATCGGGACTCGACGCGCTCACCGTCGCTTTGCTGCTGGGACATTCCAACCCGGCGATGCTCTCGACGACTTATCAGCACCTCGCCCACAATCCGGCGCACTTGCTGAGCCAGCTCGCGTCGGCTGACAAGTAGCCTAGAGCCTCAGGTGCCGGAGCCGCCGCGTTGGCGGCTTCGGCGCTGGCTCGCTTGCTTTGGCCTGGCTGCAAGACGCGTGCAGGTATTCGGCAAGTTGTTCTTCCGAAACGCGGATAGCGCCACGCCCTCCGCCCACGCGATGGGCTGTAAGCTTCCCCGATTCGACAAGCTGATAGACCGTCGTGCGGCTTACTCGCAATCGTTCGGCGACAATTGCGACTGTTAAGAGTGGAGTGGTCATCCGAGCCCCATCCCTCCCAGTCCTTTCTCAATGGTCCGTCGAACGATCTCCTCGGCCATGTTGCGATCCGCGATGATCGCCGCGATCAGGTCGGTTGCGACGGCCAAGAAGTCATGATTGGTTGCTATCGGATAGCCAAACTCCACGATGGCTGTCTTCAGCACACCGACTGCCACATTGAGTCGCTGAGAGGGATCGATGGCCAACGTCGGTAGCGGCGAGAGGTCCGCCCCGACGGGAGCGCCGTAGCACTCCGCAAACAGCGTAGCCGCCGCTTCCCATGCCGGATGGGTAGGCGTTCGATCGGAGTGGCGTCGATCGACCGGGCCACTGGTCAGCCGGAACCAACTTGCGGTGAGGTATTGAACGACGTCGGCGCGCTTCGCGATCCAGTCTTCGACCGTGTCGACGCCCAGCTTCTTGAGCCGCCCTCTCCCCAGTTGGAACTCGATGCGGGTGGCGACGTCGGGAATGCCCAACCACCTGGAGGTCGCCATGATTTCCATCTTGACCGGGTCTTTCATCGCATCGAGGAGCTTGTCGTAGATGCGTGGCAGCAACGGGGACTTGCCCACGCAGAAGCCCGTGTCTCTCTGACCGGATGCGTAACTTGTCGCCGGAAGAAGCCCTTGATGCCGACTACGACTCTTGGCGCGCGTCACCAACCAACCGTTGTCGTAGGGCTCCGTGAACATCGTCACCGGTGTCCCGGGCAAGTCGAGGCATGGATCGACTCTCGAAAGCTTGTTGGCCACGATCGTCGCGCCTAGCTGTTCGATGAGGTAGTGAAAGAGACCCCAGACACCCGCGAAGCCCAGTCGCATCATCGGCACCGAGGGCGCGTTGATCTGGACACTCGGGTGGGTACGGTGGGGAGTCGCACGGTCCGCGATCAGTAGCTTGACGCCGTGATCCGTCCGCACTTGGTAGGGCACATAGAACCCCTTGTCTCCTGCCCCGACCTTTGCGCCACCGGGCGACACCAGGCCGACGACATCACCCAATTGGAGTGTGTTAGCGTCGCTGCCTCGGAGAGCGGCCTCGCGTGCTCTCTCTAGCTGCTCTCGGATGCCGCCAAAGCTTTCATACTCCAGATAGAAATTAACGGTTAGGTAATCTTCTCCACCCAGTGTGGTTTTCTGAGGGGGTGTGTTACTGAGACCACCCCCTCCGTTGAGGATTGCCGGGTCGAACGCTAGCGCTGCATCGTCTGCGGATCGCTGCGCGTGGTTACTGTCGCCTTTGGCGGTAGCTGGGGAGCCCCCCGCCGTCTCCCCAGACCCCTGACCCACCACCTCTACTCTGTGTTCTTCGCTGCGCCGGGTAGGCTCTGCTTCTGGCGTGCCTGGGGATGATCTCTCACTCTCGGCGCGACGGAACTCGCTCGACCCGGCGGCCGCCGCTCCTCGCTCCTTACGTCGCTGTGGGGCGTCGTCCGCCGGGTCGTTCGAGTTGTCGCTAGGGGGTTGTGTGTTCATGCCCCAAAACTAGGAGGCATCCCCTCACAGCGCCCGGACAGCTTCTCCGCTTTATATGTCCGCTAGCAGCCACTCCCAATGCTTGCCGTCTCTGCGCAGCATTCTGGCGAACGAGTCTTTCTGCACGCTCCCGAAGTCGGCATCGACGAGCACATCGGGATCGCGGCTGATGGCTGCGATATCAAAAAACTCTCTCACTTGCGGCGCGGTCAGCGGTTCACCGAAGCGCTTGGCGACATGGTAGAGGCCCGATGCAATCCAGCGCTTTGTCACGGCCAAGGTAGGGGCGCTATGGACGCGTTCCATCGCCGGATACACGATCTCGAAGCTCGCGTGGGCTCTCGCCGGACCGCCGGCGTGGAGCACCGCACGCGCAGCGGGCAAGTGAATCACCTCGGGGTCGTTCTCTGCGAGTTTGGCGAGTGCGTCGAGGTTCAGCCCCGAGATCGCCGTCGCTGCGCCATAGAGTTGCTGTGGCGTGGCCTGATGCCGAATCATGCACGGCACGAACACCCGCACAAGGAAAGACACCGCCGGCAACGCTCGCAATTCGTCGAACTCTTCCGCCGCGAACGCCGGCGGACCACCTGTCGTCCAGCAATCGATAAGCTCCTCGATAGGCGCTTCGCCGCCACTGGCCGTCGGGCCCTGCAAAGGCTCTTCGAGTCGCTTTAGCTCTTGAACGGCCGAAGTACTCGGGTCGCCGGCGATAAGCTCTTTCAAGACCTCAGGTGTTAGCGGGATCGGCGACGGAAAGCTCCTCAACGGCAGGTCCATCACCCCATCAAAAACGGAATTGTAGTAGCGTTCCCAAGCCTGATCGGTCCTGTCCGTCGTCGCTTGCTGGACGCGCTCGCCCTGTCCCGCCGCGATCAGCTCGTGGATCATCTCAGCCGCGAAGGCGGCTGGAATCGCGAACTAGCAGTGGATCGGGGATTTGCCTCTTGCCCATTCTTTGAGCCGTTGCCGTGGCGTCATACGTTTCCGGTAGTCAAGCGAAAATGCAATTCGAGCTTTGAATAATGCTTGCGGACGCACTCCCGGTCTGCCTGCGTCGTCGCAGAATGGTTACTCACGCCTCATTCGTCTCATCGCATCGAAGAGCTGACGATGATTCGCAAAGCGCACTGCCTCTTCGGCCTTGCACTAGGTTTCTTGACCCCATCGATGGCAGAGAGCTTGCTTAGCATCGAGTGTCTATCGGAACCTTCTCGAAAACTTAGTTGCACGTATTTTGCCCGCAAGGGTAGAACTGCGACCTCATCGCCACGCGCCTTCTCCCATCGTCGCAATTCTGACGCAGTTAGAACACTGACGACCGTCGCCCCACCTCCCGTCAAGTTCAGCTCGCGTACCACCTCATAAACGCACTCAAGTAAACGCCATGCGCCGCTACCCCTGCTCCTGGGACCGCCTGATCGCTGCGTTAGGGTTCCGCCGTCGGGTCACTCGCGCCAAACGTAACAATTGCGTTCGTAGTTGGCGACGCCCGGAAGCGCTGGAGCAACGCGAACTGCTGGCATCAGATACCTACGTTGTCTCAACCGTTTCCGATGCAGCCAGCTTTGGGGGACCAGCAGAGTGGAGTTTACGAGAAGCCCTACTGCACTCTGTATCGGACAATGATGGCGACGATGTTATAGTCTTTGCTCCTTCACTTGCGGGGAAGACAATACTGCTTGGCGACACCAACGGCGACGGGGCGATTGGGGGCGGCGAGAGTGCAACTCAACTGCAGATCAGCAGCAACATCATCATCGATGGGGCAGGTGCGCCCGGACTGTCAATTAGCGGCAACGACCAGTCTCGCGTCTTTTTGGTCGAGACGGGCGGGGACTATGAGGTTACTTTACAAAACCTGACGATCGAGCGAGGCTACGTTTGGGGCGCTTCGACTGCGCGAGGGGCAGGAGTCAGCTCGGACGGCAACACCCTGACGCTTTCAGAAGTTAAGATCGCAGGCAATGTCGCGGGGTCTCATGGTGGAGGGGTCTATAGCATCAATGGCGACGTCACTGTCATCAATAGCACGTTCGAGGGCAATACAGGATACTCCGGCGGAGGGCTGATGGCCTACACCGCATCGGGGGCATCGACGGCAGCGAACGCGGTTCGAATTGAGGGAAGCACTTTCGCAGGCAACACAGCGGCAGGGCATGGCGGCGGCCTGCAGCTTACACAGTTCAACACCGTCGAGCGTGGGACGGTGGAAATTGTCAACAGCACCTTCTCTGGCAATGAAGCCCCCAGAGCCGGTGGCATCCAGATTTACGGTGATCCGATAGATGTCACAATCGACGCTGCAACGATCACTGACAACACAAACACGGACCTTGCTGGAACCGTCGGCGCTCTAGACAAGAGGTTATCAGGATCCACTCTGGTGCTAACAAACACTATTCTGGCGGGCAATCATACCAACGCTGGTTCCACACCGGACCTCTATATCTTCGGCAGTCAGACTTCTCCGGCATTCTCCGCATCTCACACGCTACTCGGCTACAACAACAGTCACTTCAACCCTGAGGTTGGTATTGGCAATATCGAGTTACCGATGGGAATTGAAATCGGACTGGCTCCTCTCGGATTGTATGGTGGGCGGACACCGACACATGCCCTGCTGCCGAGCAGCCCCGCCATCGACAAGGGAGTTAACTCGGCTTCCGGTCCGTACGATCAGCGTGGAGTAACACGTCCGGCTGACGGAAACGGCGACCTGACTTTCGTCGCGGATATTGGTGCGTTTGAGTACGTCGCCGGTCCGATCGTGGTGAACACGACCTCGGACGTCGCCGTTGGCTCGGGCGAGCTGAGCCTTCGTCAAGCAATCGAACTCGCGAACGCGACGCCTGGCGCCGACGTGATCGAGTTCGACCCGGAAGTCTTCGCCACGCCGCAGACGATCACGCTGGCGGACCACGATGGCGTTAGCGGGGCCGACCCGCTGACGATCACCAGTAACAACCTGATGATCACGGGCCCTGGCGCCGACCTGCTCACCATCGACGGTAGCGGCGCTAATGGGATCCTTCTGATCCCTTACGGCTCTGCGACGGTGACGGGGGTCAGACTGACCGGCTCCGCCTCGTATTCGATCGAAGTGGGGGCCGGCGCTTACGTCAACATCGACGCGATTGAAAGCTCTGGCAACGTGGCCGGCGTCCACTCCACGGGCACCACCTTCGTGAGCAACAGCGCGATTGTCGACAACGAGACTTACGGATTGTTCTTCGAGGGTTACGGGGATGTCGCAAATTCCACGATTTCTGGGAACGGATGGACTGGGCTGACAAGCCACCTGGGATATGTGAGCGTCGCTAGCACAACGATTGTTGGAAATAGTGTTGGAATCGACACGAATTACAATGGCGAGCTGACCCTTCTCAATTCGTTGTTAGTGGGGAATGGCGATCCGGATTCGCCCGCCGACTTGTACGTCGGATCCTACGGCCAACTGGTCTCAGCGACCAACAACCTAATCGGCTCGGCAGTCGATGACTCCTCCACCGCGCC